TACAAATTTAAGTCAGAGAAAAGCTACTGAACAAATTATCTGCTGTTGATTATTTTTATTTAACAGTGGATTTTGAAGAGAAAATGTTGATCAAATCAGTTATCTTTATTTTAGTAATACTTTATTATATATAAAAACAAACTCTAGTGATGTTGCTTTAATTTCTATTAACTTTTATGTGAAATTATTTCAGATGTGGAGAAAAATTGCAAAATTGTTACAAAGATGTTCTGAACACCCTTCCCTAACATTTACATTTGCTTTACCTGTTTTCTCTGTATCTATGTATCTGTGTCTGTCTTCTTTACCTGAAACATTTCAGAGTAAATTGCAGGCCTGGTGTCCCTTTACTCCTAAATATGTTTGTGGTTCCTAAAAACAAGAAAATTCTTTTACATTACCACAGTACCATTATCAAAATCAGGATATTAACATTTACTCATTACCTATCATCCAGTCTAGAGGTCATATTCAGATTTCACCAGTTGTTCCATTAAAGTCTTTTATAATAAGAGAAACACATTTTCTGGTTTGGGAGCCTATATTACATTTACTTGTCATACCTCTTTCTTTCTAGAATGGTTCCTTAGTCTTTTATGTATTTTTTGGGGGTCAGCTATGGTCTTTACATTTTTTCATGAGCACCGGCCCTTTACTTTATAGAACATCTCTCATTTTGCATTTGTCTGTTTTCTCATGATTGTATCGAGGCTGTGCTCATTGGCAGGTATACTTCAGAGAATGTATTGTGTTTCTCTGAGCATGTTTATCCCATTACTGCTGTGGTTGGCTTGGTTAAGGTGGTGTCTCTCGCATTTCTTTACTGTCGAGTCACTACTTTTCCCTCTGTTGTCAATAAGGTATCTTACAGGGAGATGCGTGGAGCCTGGAAATATCTCATTATACTTTCACCCACTAGTTTTAGATACTTCCTAGTTTGCATTTAGTGAGGAGTAAGGCTAAAGATTATGGTGGCAAAGGCAGGCACAATGCCAGAAAGATTTGTTTTTCTAAGTTCATCACTATTGAAGTTTGATACATTAAGGACTCAGAGGTGAAGGAAGCAAAACCCAATTTACCTCACTGTTGCATTTGATAAGCTCAGTTATGTATTTTTGGGGGCAAATACATTTAAAGCAACAAATATATTTGAAAACAGTGGCCAAAGGTCTAAACACAAACACTGACATTAGTGACAGCTTGATGGTGATCAAGAAGACAAAACTGCATTAAAATAGCAAATGGATTAATAAAAATTTGGATGTTTGTGACCATCTGATACAGGCATATAGAATATATATACTCCCTGTAGCATGATTGTGTGTGATCATGTTCCATACTATGACATATCATGATTGTAGTTGTTTTTACCTATTTGAACAAAACATTCCTGGAAAGATAGAGGCATTGCCAGTTCAGACAGATTTATCAGCTACTAATAGACCCTGCAGAGGGCACACTGTCTCACTGATCCCAGAGATTTGTCTTTGAGACTTCAGAAATTGTGACTTGTTTTGGGTTTTTTCTTTCTCTTTCTTTCTTTTCTTTCCAATGTGTGGTTTTTTGTGTGTGTGGCTGGGGGTGGGGGTTAGGTCTTCTGTTGACTAAATCACAAGATTTATCTGTTAGAATGTCAACATACTGATCTTCAAATGGAGAACCGTACTATTTAGTGTATCCCTTATTCATATGCTTCTTGGAACTAGCACGCATTTCTGTTGGGTAAAAAAATATTATGTATGAAGCCAGGTTGGCAAAAATTTGGTGAGGATAGTCACAATAAGGGAATTTGGTTTTGTATTTTGAATGTTTAAGACATTGTTTCTAAAAGTGTGTTCCATGGAATTCTCAACCCATAAGGATATCCTGTAAAAGGAGGAGGGGTGTGGGTTAAATAAGTACCGTAAGATACCCTCCTCTTGAGAATCCCAAAGCATTGTGACAAATTAATGAGTCTTAGGAGTCTTTCTTAAAAGCACATGTTTAATGTAGTTGAAGTCAATGTTTCCCAAATAGAAATGACACAGAAACCTTGTTTATTTTTTCTTCCTTCCACATAACAGCCCTCAGAATATACGTTTATTGGCATTAGACTTGTGTAGATTTTTCCTTTAGGTGGAACAAGACGAACTCGTCAGCCTACCAGCAAACTTTGACCCTCCTTTGTATTACCTTTCATTCCAGGTGGTTACCTTCACTTTCCATTGATCCTCCCTCCCTCCCTTCCTTTCTCCTTTCTTTTTTTTTTCCTCCTTTTAAAAATATTTTTAAAACTTCTGTTGAATTATATTTTGGCCTGGGAGCTGTTTTGTCTCTTTGTATATCTTTGTTTTCATCTCTTAAGTATTGAGTTTGACTTGCAGAGGGGACCTGTTTCCAAGTTCTCAGAAATGGGGCTATACATGGTTATTTAAACAATGTTACGCCTACAGGATTCCTGGTAATAATAATGCAGGATCTAAAGGAAATGTTTCATACCATCCAGTTGAATAACTTCAGAATTCTATTAAAATGTGTTTAGGAAGATTTCTTTAACAATATCTGAACCTAAATGGTTATATTTTTTAAATTCTGCAAGTAATCATTTTGCCTTTAGCAGCTAGTTATTATTCTAGTTATCTACTTAATTATATTATTTTGAAATGCTTGCAGCTCACTAATTTAGATTGTAAAATGTGCTGTTTCTGTTCTGTAATTCTAAGTTGCAGTAAAGAGGTCCATTTTTGGATTCCATTCAATAATGAGTCTAATGTACTTTTTTCTTACACAGTTATAGAGACATCTCCTAAGGTAAAACAGAGCCTTATAAAGAATTTGTATCTTTAAACTTTCATTTTTTTTAAAGATTTATTTATTTACTTATTTGAGAGAAAGAGAATGAGCGAGAGAGAGCACGAGAGGGGGGAGGGTCAGAGGGAGAAGCAGACTCCCTGCTAGGCGGGGAGCCCAATGGTGGGGCTGGATCCTGGGACTCCAGGATCATGACCTGGGCTGAAGGCAGTCGCTCAACCAACTGAGCCACACAAGTGCCGCCCCTGTCTTTAAACTTTCATAATACTGTGGTTTATAGAAGACAACAGCTCATAATTATGTAGCAGTTTATGTTTACTACATTTTTTAAAAAGTTGTTTATTATTATTATTATTATTTAGTAATGTCTCCACCCAATGTGGGGCTTGAACTCATGACCCCAAGATCAAAGATTGCATGCTTCACTGACTGAGCCAGCCAGGCACCCCAATTTACTACATGTTTTTATATACATTTTTCCACGAAGAAAATAGGAATGTCATACCATCTTTGGAGTGACCTGAATTCCAACCCTGCTTCTACCATTTACTCTAGATGTGGCTCTGGATTTGCTGCTCGTTTATTCATTCAATATTTATTTATTTGCTTAGTATATAGTGCGTACTTTTCTGGGCACTAGACATAGAAGGAGTTAATCATAGAATAGAGTTAAATCATTCACTTAACTTTTAAAATTATTTTTTCACCTAACGAGGTGTGGGAATAGTATTGATTTAAAGCCCTTGGCACACAGTAGGCTCACTTTGAATAGAGTGGTAAGATGGTTTCTCACATAAAATTTGTTTCTAGCAGTAAGAGATGGGCATTACACTTGTTCCTTTCTTGTTATATTTGTCATATAGAATCTTGTTTCTCAAAAAACCATATCTTGCTTTCAAAAATTTATTTTTTGAACTACCTATTAAGATCTTTATTTAGTGTCACATTTATTTTACAAAGGGTAGATGCTTATTTTAGTGATGATTTGTCATTAAAATTATGTCAAAATGTCTTAAAATGTTGTTGAAACTGTAAACCAACTCATAACACACACAGAGCTAATTATGGATGCCATCTGTTTATTTTTACAAAGCTTTTTTTTTTTTTTTAAGACCATGGCATTGTCTGCTTCTGATAAGCTTCAAGATTATTATAATGACTAAGTCCTGTCCTTCAATTAGTGTAGTTGAAGATGGGAAGACAATTCTTTTGTTCATTGACCTTTTCCCGTGTCAGAGCGTATGAAATTAGACATGTCATGATAAAGAAACTATTATGAAGTGCATTTAGAACATGCTTAATTTTTATGAGAAAAGAAATTGGTATTAAAACAGCAGATGTGGCCAAACTTTTATTTAAATTTCTAAAACTTATTCGGGGATTTCAGTGAAAGACAGATCATCTGCTCTTTATCAGTGCTGTAAGTGGCTTTATTTTCGCTTTGTTAAGTTTAGGAACTTGTAAGCAGTCAAACAAATTCATAATGATGTGTATCCCTGTTAGTATCTCTCTCTGTCAGTGCATGTTTTTGTACATGTGTATCCCATGTGTGAGTATGGAAGGCCAGGGATCCCCATGACAGCATCATCCAAAGTAGTTATCAGCAATTTGCTGAGAAAGCAGAGTGATTTCACTGGCTCAGTTTTGCTATTGTGCATGCTAAGCACTCCCCGTGTAAGTCTGAAGGGAAAACAACCTGCAGGATCCATCTGCTCCTTTCTGCTACACTGCATTGATGTAAGAGTACGCTAATCTGGTTGCTTGTCAGGACAGGTTAGTGAAAGCATGAGACTGGGTGAGACTACGCTAGCCTAGTGCTTTGGAAAATCATAAGCTGCCTCTGTGGATGCCATGCTAAGTGTAGCAGAATAGGTTGATTATCAGCCATATGGAGGATTGCAGCTAAATATATAACTTTCAGATAGCAAGTAGTTTCAAAATTGAAAGTGTTAAACATTGCCGGATGACATCTAATTAAAAATGGAAACAAGTAATACAGATAGTTTACAAATACCTTTTAGGTATTTTTTTTTTTAAATCATGCCTTGTATGAGATTGTGTTTAATTTTATTCACTTAGTTTTTTTAAAGTCATTGAATGTTAAATATAATTAACCTCATTTTACCCAGAAGTTATTGAACTTGTTCTTGCTTATTTCTGTTTATTTACCTTTTCCCACACCTATTGATGGGCTCATATTGGCCTTGCAGGTTGAGCATCCCGTCACAGAATGCATTACCAGCCTGGATCTAGTCCAAGAAATGATCCGTGTTGCCAAGGGTTACCCTCTCAGGCACAGACAAGCTGATATTCCCATCAACGGCTGGGCAGTTGAATGTCGGGTTTATGCTGAGGTAAAATGAATGATGTTGAGAGGAAGGATGACGGTTGTGTCCCAGAGTCATGGGACCAGGTAGAGATAAACAGAAGGTAAAGTTAGGGTTTCATAACTGGTGTCGAATATCTGCTTACGTAATACAGAATCCAACTGGAACAAAGGGTAGACAGTTTTGACATAATTCAAAATAGTTTTAAAAGATTGAGTTTAATTAAGTTCTATGTATTTTTTCTGGATGGGAAAAATAGCTACCAGTCACTTTAAGGGGCAACAAAGCAGTCGTTAAATATTCTTGCTTTTGTTAAATATTCAGTATGCTTGAACGGACCATGGCTTTTGTTTTGTTTGCTTGTTTTCAAATCACATTTGAAGTAAACAGAAGCAGTTATTTCTGTGTTTTTGTTTGTTTTTTAGAGCCCACCCTGGGTACACATGAGTTGTTGATTCAATATTTACTTAAATTTTTTGCAAGTTTATTTTCTAATAATTTTATCCCTTATGCTTACATTGAAAGTAGCAGTTAAAATTTAAATTGCAAAGCTTTCATTCATAATTTTAATTATGGATTTTACTCCTAAACTGTCAGTCCAGTACTTTTATACTATTTTATAACTGTATTAATTAGATAATAAAGCAGTCAGTATCTGAAAATGCTTTTTTCAAATGATTAAAATAATTCAAGGAAACATTTATACTATGTTTTACTTTTAGAATTCAAAGTTTATCAAAACAAAAAGCAAATTAATAGTATCTGTGTCTAAGAATACTGGAAGTTGTTTTGAAATGTTTTTTAAGGATCTTGAGAAGAATATACTTGGCCTGGTTATTCTTGCTTTTATTATATTTTAAGTGGTATTGTTAGGACACTGAACTTATTTAATATTTATTCTGATGATCTAAGATATTTACAAATGGAGCACATATCTAATAGCACATGCAAAGTTTCTTTCAGGTCTTTATTTGAAGAACTAAAATTCTCCAATTTTACCATATGTGAACTGTATTGAGAGTAAGAAAAACATCTTTAGCGTACTACAGTTGTTGTTCTGCACTTGAGGATGTTTTGATGTATCGCCTAGGTTATTTTATTTTTGCCCAAAGCATTCTAAGAAGATTTATAAAATGTTGGAATTTTACCAATTTCAATAAAGTATGACTAAGGTCAGGCTAAATTCTGCTTACAGTTCTGTTTGATTTTTAAATACTTGTCTAAGTAGTCTAGAGTGAGTATAAGACTATAATATTCTGAAATCTGTGATTTGGTAAATACTGTATATTGAAAATAGATCTATAAATGCTTCTTCATTGTATAAATATTTAACCTTACTTTGCTGATTTATATTTCAAAGACTGTGCTTCCTTTCCTTTGAACTTTCAGGACCCCTACAAGTCTTTTGGTTTACCGTCCATTGGGAGATTGTCTCAGTACCAAGAACCAATACATCTACCTGGTGTAAGTCATTAAGCTGTAATACCAAGTGAGGGGTTAAAATCTTGATTTATGTCATACTTTTATGTTAAAGCATGTCAACACTAAGGGGTGTAAATTGAAGGACAAGTGAAATTCCTGGGGAATGGCAGTTTTTTGTTGTTTTTAAATATATATTTTGTACTTTGTGATACATAAGAAAGTCAGAATTCACTTCCCAGGGGAAGTCCAGAGACATCTGACTTGTAAATAAATGATAGTTTACAATGTTCCCAATTCTTTTGAAAATTGTACTGAGAAAGATCACAGAATCCTAAGAATGGGAAATGACTTTCCTGTATTACACTTTAATCTTTTCACTAAATCTAACCCAGATTCCCTGTATAGTCAGATGTCAAAAATTCAAGCACAAAATCAGCCCCTTAATGGAAGCGGATTAAGTAAAACAAAGTATGCCTCATTCTGTTAAGTGTCACGGACTTTAAGAAGTATGTATTTCTACCAGTTAAAGAAAAGTGATCACTGTCCACTTAATTCCTAATTCTTCTATATTTAATAGCTGTTCTTTAAATAGTTTTTGCTGCATAAAAAGAACAAGGACATACCCTTTTTCTTAATCAAGGTAATAAGTGCATATATATGTGACATTATGTTAACTAGTGGATGACAAGGCTGTACCATCTGTGAATATGATTATTCAGTTTGATTACTGGCATGAAGATGGTGAAAGATTACAGGAAGGATTCTAAATTCGAAGATGTTATTGGATATGTGATTTATTTCACTTTTTAAATGGTTTTTGCCCATATGCGTTCTGAAGAGACTTGACCCTTTCTAGGCTGGGAGACTCCATGCTGTGTTCAAAGCCTGAAGGCAGAAAAAAAAAATTGTAAAGATTTAACAGGCATTATGTGACATTAAATAGCAGATGAGAAAACAAGTATCATAGGGACATATCTAAACATTTTTTTAATCAAACAAAAAAGTATTAAATAAGAATTCATAATGATTACTCTAGTTGTTAGAAGTTTTCACCATGTTGTAATAGCTAACAGGATGTCAAACATTTTGCCCTCGCAAGTTTTTGCAATTTGCAATTTTCAAACGTGAGACCTGTTGAAAGTACAAGTGATAATGGACAAACTATACCCCCTACAGTCTTTGTCCCACCAAATCTTTCTTCAATTAATGCTGCAGCAGGAGTTTTATGTAATAACATTTGCAGTTGTGAGCCATCCATAGAAAGAAAAAAACAATTAAAATGCCTTAAATGTTCTGCTTACTGCTGTTATTTGCTTGTGTGAATGTTGCATGTCAGCTAAATGGACCAAGGAATAGATAAAGTGATTGGGTGCGGGAGAGTGCACACCACGCTTTGTCTATCATTATTGCTGGGAGCAATCAAATTGATGTCAGCAGGACAGTAGATGCGTTGACAGCTGTAATTATGTATCTCCATGGTGATCACTTTTGGCCTGTCATGGAGGCCCACAAGTCCCCTCCCTTGGAAGCATTTAATCAGATTGGGCTGTCACTTGTCAGGTAGACATTGCGGGCTGGGAGTTGGACTGAGGGAGAGAGGTGAATCGAGCATGAAGGGTGGGAGACGGCTGATAGTTTCACACGGTCCACCGTTGATACAGAAGAAAAACATTTAAATTATGCCAGAGGTTTCTGAGCAATGGCTTGAGACCCTCATACACAGGTGCCTGGGTGGTGGTGGTGGTGTGGTTTTTCCTCCTTGCCTCTTTAACTAGATCAGTCAGTTTTCACTTGGGAAACTCTTTTTGGCTGTTACCTTTTTTGTCACAAGAATACATACTTCATGGGCGCCTGGGTGGCTCAGTCGTTGAGCGTCTGCCTTCAGCTCAGGTCATGATCCCGGGGTCCTGGGATCGAGCCCCGCATCAGGCTCCCTCCTCCGCGGGGAGCCTGCTTCTCCCTCTCCCACTCCCCCTGCTTGTGTTCCCTCTCTCGCTCTGTCTCTCTCTGTTAAATAAATAAAATCTTAAAAAAAAAAAAAAATACATACTTCAGAGTTAACTTACAGGCTGTACTTTTCACATGGTTCTTTAAGCCTAAAATTTACTTCCATGGCATTGATGAAGATTTAAAAAAAAAATCTTTGATCACCACATTTTGTAAATTTGTTATTTTCAGACTGCAATTTTGTTCTGCTCAGAAATTTGGTTACATTTCCATTTGACTTTATTCTTAAAGCTTTTTGTGCCAAAGCTAAATATATTTTTTTGTGTAGCCTTTGTTTCCGTAGAGGAATGGTGACTTAGTTTGACCTTTAATTCATTGTTAGAAATAAAAGCTGATGATTATTTGAAAAAAGCTATATAAGTAGGAAATTATAAGTCAGAGTCTTCATGCTTTGTTACAGTTTTAAATTGGAAATGATTTGCTAATGAAATGTGTTTGATTAGCGATGTGTGTTGATTACATATAATACCTCTTGATTTTATCCTATGTATTTGTAAATTAAAATGACATACCTTCTGTGATCATAATTTTAGTAGATGACATGGGTATATCCAAGAGCCCTGGGTAACTTAACTTTTAGGATGGTGGTGTTCAAGGTAACTAAGACTTTAAATTATGCACTATAGAAGAAAGTAATAAATAATCTTTATTGTCTATGTTATTTGACCAGTGGGTTGAACAGCAGAGTTCCACACTAGCCTTGTAGCAAATAGGCTATATTTAAGTCAAACAGTTTAGAATTTGCACCAGTCTTCAATTTGAAACACAGCTTTAGCAAGCATGCTCTGGTTTTAAATAACAATACGTGGAGGTAAAACGAACTCTTCAACTTTTTGCTACTAAAATTAAGAAAATGGAAGTTCAGAAGGCTCTTTTCTGTTCTGTAAGTTAGTTGCCAGCTGCCGTTTGGAGGCTGTTTAAATATGGGGAGAGAGTAGATTATGATTTTATTGCTTTCACAGCTGTCCCATTAATTCTTTTCTAGTTTTTATAAACACTGTGAATTTCATAGTGTCATAGAACTAAAGTATGTTTCCAGAAAATAGAAAGCCAAGATATGCTTAAGTGTGCTGAGTGACTTTCATTTAAAATTGATTTTCATACATGAATGTGAATGTAAATACAAATATCCATACTTTTGTGTTTGCAAATACAGAGATAAAAGCACTCTGTGTATGTTACGATGTTATCTTCCGAAGCCTTACAAAGAGAATAATGGTAGTGTGATTTTTTTTTAAGAGAATGAAACTATGCTTTATCTTTTGATGTCACCGTATAATAAAGCCATCATCATACCCTCATGTGGATATCCTAGACAAGAGGTTCTACATGTGGTCCCTTGATAATTGCCTAAATTAAAATATTAAAGGCCTAACAGCCGCTGTGTTGACCTTTTTCTGCCTTGCTGCAGACAGATGAGCTGCTGTTTATTAGGAAGGCTTCTTCCCACAGGTGAAGAGCTACGTGAGCTTCCGCTCTTCTCTTCCCACCCCTTTACAATGTTGGGCATCAAAGTCCTGCTGTTCTAGCAGCTTCGATTAAATTCCTCTATCTTCAAGACCCCTAGGACATGCTTGACAGTCTTAAGTATTTTGATTAACATTTAAATACTTCAGATTCCAAAACTTAGGCACAATAATTTAATAAATATTTTGTCCTCAGCAACTGCTCATTTTAAAAGTTTTACATGGCTAACCTCTGTGCCTTACTGCTGGTATCAAACTGGGAGAGGGAAACAAGAATCAGCGATGTACTAACTAACTTGTTGGCTGGTTAACAGCAGTCAGACTCTTCAAAAGAATATTTTGAACTTGAGCTATTTTTTTCCACCATGAAAATCGCAAAATCAGAACTCTAATTGGGGCTGTGTCCTTACAAAGCAAAGCTATGAGAAAAGCTGTGTAAACATTAAAGTCTCGGGGGACTAACAGTAACAGAGAAAAAACGTTGTACAGTTGAGAGGGTAAGGCAAAAAAGGAAAGTGTTATAGACATGAAAGCCACAGGACCAGTGTTCCTGTAGAGCTGATGAGCAGAACTCCTGAGTCCTGCTGCCTGGCTTGACTGGGGTCCTCCCTGGAGCTCTCAGAAGGGTACAGTGGGGAGTGTGCCTAGAAGGGGCATCATTCATGCCATGCTTCAGTTGGAAGACACCATCAACTAGCTACAAATGGATCCCAGGATAGTGATATATAAAGTCGTAGTACTGTTATTTTTTTGAGGTTTCTTAGTTCCTTTGTTTAATGAAAGAACAAAAAATACATTATACTACACACTAACAGATCAAGATAATTTGGTCTCTATATAGTTTAGATCGTTCTTCTGTTTTCTGGAAGCTAAAAAGTTACTTGAGATTAAATTATCCATCTGCTCCTTAGAAATTAAAATTGTGGTGAGAAAAATATCTGCACGATATGAAGTCACTTTTGTTTCTTTCTTTCTCCCAGGTCCGGGTTGACAGCGGCATCCAACCAGGAAGTGATATTAGCATTTATTATGATCCAATGATTTCAAAAGTTAGTTTGATTTCTTAATAACTTTGTTCGTTTTTCTTCTGAAGAGACAGTGGAAGTATTTAATTAAAAAAATCTGAAATGGAGCTTTTCTCTGAATCATGTGCTATAATTAAACAAGTAATTGTGCACTGATGGAAAAGTGAAAGCAGAGCAGATTTTCTTCCTCTTGAGAAATTTCAATACCATGTTACTTTGTAACACTCCCCAATCAAGTCAGTCAGTGGCTCTTCCCACCCTGTCAAATCTCAAATCGAATGATGATCCCCTTTCCCAACGGTAACAAAGCTACCTACCCAGTGGCTCCAACACAACCCATACAGTGAGGATGAATTAAGTTGTTATTTGGTCATTCCTGAAAAATGCCTGAGATAGAAGTATGAATGGCAGGCCATATCAAAGAATTGGGGTGATAAGTCATGTTTTTTGGAGTACTTTTTACCATTTTTCTTCAATTATTATGAATCCGTAATTTGTGGGGATTGCACGTAATTAAATTTTATGTAAGAGTATAAGATGTCTTTTTGTCCACCTGTCTTTTTGAAATTTGACTTTCCAGAATAACAATGCTGCTTAAATTCTTAGATTGTTAGAATTGTAAGATCTCATAAAATGTAGAATTCTGACTGCAGAATTTACTAAAAACCCTTTCTCAAGGTGATGTGCTTACAGCAAGCAAACCAATTTTTATTTATCTTTTTTCCCTTAAGTTTTTTTTTTTACGATTTTATTTATTTATTTGAGAGAGAGAATAAGAGAGAGAGAGCGTGAGAAGGGGGAGGGCCAGAGGGAGAAGCAGGCTCCCCGCCGAGCAGGGAGCCCGATGCGGGACTCGATCCCGGGACTCCAGGATCATGACCCGAGCCGAAGGCAGTCGCCCAACCAACTGAGCCACCCAGGCGCCCCTCCCTTAAGTTTTTATAGTAACATTATTAAAGTGAACTTTAGATATTTTGGTTGTTAGGGAAGCACTATTTAGTTTAAAAATAAGAAACAAAAATATAGATTGATTTTTAGTAGATGTTCCATTTTTGATGAATACATTTCTGTTCAGAAACGTGGCCTACAAATAAATTTTCAGCCTGGCTTGATACTGAGGAACTGATGGAATGTACTAAAGTAATTGCACACTACACGTTGACTAATAACGAGAAAAATATTTTATGAGTACTTAAGGTCTTATTAGCAAGCAAATTAGTAATAAAATGTTACTTATTGCTTATTTGTTTAGGATTCCTCTAAATAGGCAGAAAGTCATATAGAATAGGAAGACCCTTCTGGTTTTCTAATACAAGAACCCTTTGCTTCTGTTCTGTGTTATGTGGAAAAGCTAGCTAAGCAGGGTGTCAAACTTGGAAACATTCTCGTAGGGAGAGAAAAAACAAATCTTGCCTAATCCTCCCCTATCACAGATGTTCATATTCTATCCCAAATAATGTTCACATTTTGATATCTTCCCTTTTAAACTTTTTATGCTTGCTTTTATTTCATTGTTAAGCTCAAATAGCTCTTTTCTGTGATAGTGAATATAGGAGAAATGTCTGAAATAGCTTGATTTTCATATTTATTTAGTTTTAAAAATCTTAATTGCCATACTTTATATTACAAACTGAACCACTGTGAAGGTTCAAAAGATGTTCTGGGAAATCTGTTAGGAAATATTTTGATTTTTATTAGGATGAATTGTTTGACTTTTAGATAGATTTATAGATACCTATGTAAATTGTTTTTTGTTTGCTTTTAGCTGATCACATATGGTTCTGATAGAACTGAAGCACTGAAGAGAATGGAAGATGCACTGGATAATTACGTTATTCGAGGTGAAAACAAACGTTTGGGGTCTTATTATTATACATGGTGTCCAGTTCTAGAAAACAGCTTGAAGATACGCTAGAGAATTCAGTAGAAAATGTGGTTACTATGTGTTTAAATAGAAATAAGAAAAACTTGATCTAAACTGACATGCTAATTAAGAATAGGTATTTCATTTTCTTTAGCAGCCCTATACTCTACGTATATACCTTCAATTATTTAATTAACCTTATGATTCATGACCTTTACTAGATGAGCATTTAGTATTTTTATGTACTGTGTGGAAAATGGTTCTAATATTCTGAAGTCTGTTACTGGCCAGTGCAGCAAATTAGCTATTTATCGTCTTTTGTCGTTGTCGATGATGTTTTGTAGGATGAAACTTTGAAAATGCATGGAGATATAAAATACAGTCACCTGCAGTTGACTAATTTGGGAGTAGAGGGAATAGCCCTTTGTGTCTGTAAGAGCAAATTATAAAATATTCTCTAGCAAATGCAATTTTGTTACCTCATGTACATACAGGTCAGTACTAATGCTTAAGAAAGTGTGATTCTGTAAGCCTTTAGGATGTAAAGCAATAACTGAATTAGGAGCAACCATTTTACTTTTATATGTATATATAAAAGATTTTATCTTTAAGTAATCTCTACACCCTGTGTGGGGCTCAAACTTACAACCCTGAGATCAAGAGTTGCATGCTTAGTTGCATGCTTAGTTGGCCGACTAAGCCAGCCAAGTGCCTCACAGCCATTTTATTTAAATAATGAAATCAAAGTTATCCTTACTCCCCTTAAGGAGTAAATTATGTTGTAAATTGTATTAGCAACTTTTCATTAGTCGTGAAAAGATCATTTCATTTTAGTCCAGCATAAATTATCATCAACTTCAGAAAAATGGAGTTTAACATTAAATTTAAAGTGTAAAATATAAGTTCACTTTGCGTTGTAAGTGAATAGTGTGGGTCTAAGAACATTCCATGGGAAGGACTGGTCTGGGTAGTTTTGCTGTTTTTTCATGGCTCATTAAAACAGTGGAGCTAGGAGGCTAAAATTTGGAGGCTGAGGTGTTAGAACAGTGGTGGAGTATGATTACCTGGCCCCCATCAAGCCCATACAGAGCTTTATGCAGTTTCAAAAAGATTCCCTTTAAGGGGACACAGCCTGTAGGTCAGAAGGCTTGGCAAGTGGACTACAACTTTGTGTGAATTAGAAAAAGTGCTCTTTTCTCAGGGTGTATTCAGCCCTGAGACAGAGAGCCCAGCTTAGCAATGTAGCATGTCAAACCCTTACTCTGCACCATTGACCCAGTGCCTTTGTGCAGTAAACAGTTCATACAATGGTACAGTAGTGGCTCAGGACAATTGAGTGGACTTTATTTATTTATTTTTTTTGAGAGCGTGAGTGGTGGGATGGGGTGGTGGCCAGTTGGGGGGAGGGGCGGGAGAGGAGGGAGAGAATCCCAAGCAGGCTCCGTGCTGACACGGGGCTCCATCTAATGACCCTGAAATCACCCCCTGAGCCAAAATCAAGAGTCAGATGCTTGACTGGTTGAGCCACCCAGGGGCCCCTAGAGACTATTTTTACATTTCTCTGCTCATTTTTGTCTATGGTGAAAAATAGTCATCCAGTCCTCACTTTTCCTCATTTTTTTCTCTTGTTGGATCTGGAGAAATTTCTTCCCTCCTTTTCCTTTTACTGTCACTCTCTTTTCTTAACATTTGTTAACTGACAAGTAACAGTGATTGTATCTAACCTTATGGGCTCGTGATTCACCTTTGTTAATGGAAAGAAAACAGTAAGCTCTCAAGGGAAATCAGTTGTAATAAAAAAAATTATCAGTAACATCAGTATCCAAAGCATATACACATTTGAAAAATCCTCTTCACATTCTTTTTAGCTCATTCTCTAGTTCTTTTTTAGCTTTAATTGTGGAGTATTTAATATATTTTTTAACTCTGCCAAGTTCCACCATAAGCAGCATTTTTTCTCTAAATATTGGTTAAGTAGGCCTGGAAGGGTCTATTTTCCTTAGAAATAATATCCCCCCAAATGTGTGTTTGAAACACACATCTAGTTTGGGTGTTTGTCTCTGTGTGTTTAACTACACGCAAATAGACATAAACAAGGTACTTGGGGATATTATTCCCAGAGGCCTTTAAAGTATTTGTAAGAGTTTTCTAGATTCCTACCCCCAACGAGTATTTTTGTAATTTTTATTCTGGTTGTTGAATTAGATTTTGGTTAATTTGGGTTTTGCTCTAATGAGCTTGAGTGGTAAATTCATGAATTTGAGGTAGTCAGTTTGACAAAGAATATTTTGTCAAATCACATCTCTATTAAATTTTGATGGAACGTAGTGGCATGGCATATGGGCAGTTTGTCAAAATACTAGCGTTGTATGCTACTCTGGCTTCTGAAAGGAATACTCCTTCATATTTATAGAATACACTTTCAGGTTTTATATTTAAATGAATGCCATTTTACTTACTCAACATCATATATTCACTAGTTACTACATTTTAAATTTATTTTTATTTAGTTTTTAAAGATTTTATTTATTT